AATCATGGAACTTCAATAACTTCAGTTGATAAAATAATGTGCTTGATGGGTGACTGTAATGCTTTCTAGTGATGATTCTTATAGCTCTTTTCTGTAAAATAAAAATAGGTTTTGTAAATGTTTTACACACTTTCCCCCAAACATCAATGCAATAGATTAACAATCTATTGATTAATATTAACAATGATTGTGTTATACAACATGTACAGAGCTTTATCATTTAATAATTCCCTGATTTTGTATAGTACTGCAATAGATTTAGATATTTTTGTTCTTACAGAATTTATGTGATTTTTCCATGTTAGCTGTTCATCAATGATTACACCCAAAAATTCCATCTCATCAACTCTACAAATCTCACCACCCTCAATTTTAAATGGATTGTCAACAGTTTTCTTTTTGTTACTAAATATCATGTATTTAGTTTTATCTAAATTTAATGATAATTTATTAATTTTAAACCAAGTTTGTATTTTATCAAATTCTGTCTTCATCAATTCCAACATCCGTTTTACATCTTTACCCAAACAAAAAAATGTGGTGTCATCTGCAAAAAGGACACATTTGAGGAGTCCTGATACATTCTCTAAGTCATTCGCATATAAAATAAATAACTTTGGTCCAAGTACAGAGTCTTGAGGAACTCCACAAGTGATATTGCACAGGTCAGATCTTACACCATTTATTTGTACAAACTGTTTCCTATCTTTTAACATTAAACGGATCGATAACATAACTCATTATGTCCTTTACAAACATAATATCTATTGTCATCCCGTTATGCAAAGCAGTCAAAGATGCGTCGAGTGCGCCCTATGGTTATCAGGAGGCTCTAAATCTGATGCTCTGTAGGCTCCAGAAATGGCCTCACACAACCAGCGTGACAGTCCTCCCTCCACGTCAGTTTCCACGGGCGCCCTGATAACAGAATCGTAGAATTGGGAACCATGGTGCATTCACGTGCTCGGGAGCCACCAGGAGAGCTGTCAATCTCTCCTCCTGAACTCGGTTCAGAAACCATAATATCAGAGGGAGTGGGGGGAACGCATAAAGAAGCATTTTGGGCCACGGGCTGTGAGCAAACACGTCCACCCCTAGCGGTGGTTCGTCCCGCGGGCTCAGTGAGAACCATAGTTGACACTGCGCATTCTCTCGTGTTGCAAACAGGTCCACGGCCACTTTGCCAAATTTCTGCCACATCTGAGCCATCAGGTCGGGATGGAGGCTCCAGTCCCCGTGACGCGGACTGCCCCTGGACATCACATCTGCCCCCCCTGTTCAGAACACCGGGGATGTACACTGCTCTGACGGAGAGCAGATTTTGTTGTGCCCAATACAGCAACCATCTTGCAATGTGTAACATTTGGGCTGAGTGCACACCCCACTGCCGGTTTATGTATACAGCAGTAACCTTGTTGTCTGTGTGAATCAATACATGTTGATTCCACAGCACAGAGGCAAAGTGTTGAATCACATTCAAAACCGTGCGACATTCCAGAATGTTTATATGAGCTGTTGTGTGAGATGGCCACAGCGCCCCTACAGCTCAGGATAGACATGTTCCCCCCAAACCTGACAGGGACGCGTCTGTGAAGACTGACACGTGTGACGTAGGTCTGATGACAGGGACTCCCTCCGACAGAAACAGGAGGGTTTCCCCAGTGTCAGAGGTCTGTTCTCACTGAGGGGGACACAGCAATCATTCGTCTCTTCTGCCTCACCGGATCCACATGCAGACGAGCAAACCATCTCTGGAGGCGTCGCATGTGGAGTAAGCCCAGTGGAACCACTGTGTGAGCTGACGACATCATTCCTAACAGCTTCATGATGGAAATGGCTGTTACCACTCTGCCAGGCCTTACGTGGCAGAGCTGGTCTTTTAAAGTTTCGATTCTCGTCTGTGATAAACGAGCCCTCATGGTGATCGAGTATAGCTCCACTCCCAGATAAACGATCGTCTGGGCTGGGAGAATCTAGCTTTTCTCCCAATTTATGGCGAAGCGCAGATTTAACAGGTGTGACGTCAGCACCTGGATCTGCGCTGCTGCTTCCTTTCTGGAATGAGTCAGTAGCAACAGATCATCTAGGTAAAACAAAATTCTCATCCCTGCTCTGTGTAACGGTTGCAGAGCCGTCTCCACATACTTTGAGAACGTATGAGGCACGAGGGAATAACCGAACGGCAGCCTGTTGTACTGATACTGAATCCCTTGAAGGGAGAAGCGCAAGAACTTTCTGGTGCTTTGGGATGATCGGGATGTGGAAGTGGGCGTCTTTCAGATCGATGGAGATAAATCAGTCGTTTCACTGAATGTTGTCTAACATCTGTCTGGTTGTCAACATGTGAAACTGTGTTGAAAATTGACAAGTCCAAAATGAGTCTCATCCCTCCGGTCCGTTTTGGGACCAGGAAGTAACGTGAGTAAAACCCTGTGTTTTCCTTTCCGTTGGGAACCCTGGAAATTACATCTTTTACCAGAAGTTTCCTGAGCATCTGCGTGTAGGGATGAGATCTGGTCTGAGGATGACAGAACCATCTCTAGAACTCCTCCAAACGGGGCTTTGAGCTGTAATTGCAGCGTAAATTCCCCACTGATAAAAACGGTTCATCCATCTGTCTAGAGCGCATGCTCGCGGCCACTCCGCATAACGTTCGGGAAGCGGGCACGCATTTATGCTGCATCACCTTATTTATGGACGCCAATCACCGCCGTCATGTGTGCTACACTCAGACTGCAGGCTCACATCTGTGTTGATGTTAGCTGGAGTGCGCTAAGGGAAGGTGCGCACACCCCGAGCATGTGGAACCGTGTAGGTTTAGGGATGCCACGGGTGCGCTGTGCTTCTGTGCCATGCTCAGGTTGCGGGCTCACATTCATGCTGATGTGAGCCGGCGTGTGCTGAGGAGAGGTGTGTGCGCCCTCATCAACGCGGTGCCGTTTGGGTGAAAACTGCCGGCGTCACGGGAGCGCGTGTTTGACACCGCTGCAGTGAGAGGAAGCAGCGCGCAGCTCAGGCTGAGAGCGAGATTTCCCACTGGACTCGGTCTGCTGAAAACATTCACTTTTGGCTGCTGTGTCACGCGAGCGTTCTGTGTGTTCCTTGAACTGCCGTGATTTTGAAAAAAACTTGTTTTAAGGACACCAGCTCGTTTTGTGTGGAGGATGTGTGAGGAGAATCCGCTGTGAGATCATTCGAACTGACAGACAGGCTGAATCAGACACTTTAATCTTTTGAATGATGTTCATGTTTTATTTCAAAACTCATGTCAACATTTTTCACACACACATCCCCCGCAAGGAGTCATTTCTTGAATCTTCTCCCCCGTGAGCCCTGTGGTTTGTTGTCCCAGGGATACCGAGGGAATTTCTGCTTGGTAAAACCCCGGTCGATGGCGTCGTCCAGCGTGTAGCGACCCGCCACTGAGAAATATTCCTCGGCGCTTACCTTGAAACAAGGCTGCTCGTCTGCTTCTCCTCGGGGAGGAGAACTCACCGGGACGGCAGGAGGTTGGCGTGGCGGGATCCCAGGCAGCCTTAACAAAGGTTGTGCCGGTCAAGCTGGACAACTTCCCTTCTTCGTTCTTCTGACAGTGCTACTAGCTTGCTGAAGAAAAATGGGAGCCGATTATCCGCTCTTAACGTAATTTATACGGACCGGGTGGGGCCCACACAACAGGTGGGCGTGGACTAAATTTTTCAGTGCGATGCTTTGCATGAAGGGATAAACCCAATAGCGAAGGCCTTAAAGGGCAAAGCCTATACGAAATAGAACTGATTCTTCCCCCAACAGCTTACTCCAAAGTGGAACAAACCTGTTCTGCTTGTGATAAGATGGTCTCTTTGGTACGCCCCCTCCTCGATTGCCGGCCCTCTTCCTTGTTGATAGTCTTGTTAAACTGGTAGCAGGGGAACGCGCTCACAAGAGAAGAAAAGTTGTTTAATGACATAAAATATATTTTGTTATCAAAGAATAAACTCCTAACTTTTTTAAACATCTGTTTTCCAACAAATAAAAAAAACATCAAAATTGTGCTTTGACAATCAATAAAACTAAAACATTTTGTCAACATGAAATAGGAAAGAGGGGGGCAGGTGTCGCTCTCGCAATGAGTTTATACTCTTTGTTGCATGCGTGCAGTGAGTGAAATACATCCAGAGCAGAGGACGTGTTTGCAAAGAAGAGTCCTAACATTTATTAATCATTACTTCTGTATAAAAAAATAATAAAAAAAACACAAAAATTGTGCTTTGACAAACTAAAAAACAAATAAAAAAATGGTTAAAGCGAAAGAGGAAGAGGGGCTGGTAACGCTCTCGCTTTGAGTTTATACTGTCGCATGCGTGCTGTGGGTGACAAGCGTCCAGAGCATCACCAGCTGTGGAGGTGTTGGAGTTATTTATTTCTCAGCAGCAGAGGGGAGCAACACAGTTCAAGCATGGTTCCCCAAACGACAAGACAGCCATATTTGTTCACAACTTTATTATTAAACTTGAGAGTTGCCAGTTTTTAGCAAACAGTTGCCGAATGCACACTGACAAAATGAGAATGGTGGAAAAAAAATAAAACTAACTCCCTGATGCAAAATGTTCCCCGGGGTCACATGTGCCCCCCCTGGCATTGCTCCGTGTCCCCCCAGGGGGGCACGCCCCACTATTTGAGAAGGACTGACCTATGGAGAACTACACTGTTGCCCAGCTAGGATAGAAGTAGACTGGAAAATTATAGAAGATCTGAAGACAGACCCCTAGACGACGAAGCAGAAGATGTTTGCAGATTTTGTATTACAGGTGGCGTGTAAAAGGAAGGCAGTCTCCGGGTCCAGCAAATGCTCTGACCATGGGAAAAGACACGGAGGAATACAGGTACAAATCATATTTTGAAGAATTGAGAACCTTGGTGTCAGGCTTTTATTCAAAGGTGACAAAAGAGAAGGAGAGAGAAGAATCTGGGAGGCCCCACACAGCAGAGTGGGTCCTTCTGAAAGTCATCAAAAGGACATGGAAGGAGCCGAGGTGGACAGGCCCCTACAAGGTGACCGAGAGGGCTTTGCATGCAGGCTCGAAGGAAAAGGAGACGTGGTTTCACTGGGGCCAGTGTGCAGCAGAGCCATGACGCTCACTTCAGGATCTTCTGGACGTGCAGGTTGATGGAGGGGATGGACACCCAGATCAGCAGGCAGAGGGGACGGACACCCAGACCAGCAAAAGGGGGGCTCTGCTGAACCTCCGCATCGGGAAGGCAGACCTCCTCTGTCACGAGGCGAAGTATGGCTCAAAGGTCTGGCCATCGCGCGACCTATCTGGTTGAGGAGGAAGGTCCTCAGACCAGGGGGCGGGTAACCTCCCTCAGCCGAAAAACTGAGGCAAGGTGACAAGACCTGGGCCAGGACGAGAAGAGGGGAAGAAGACTTTGCGAAGACAAAAGCTTAAGAAAAGAAGACTTTGCTCGTAAAAGTGGTCAAAAGCTCGAATAGCTGTTGACCTGAAGAAAGAAGACTCCGCGTAGTAAAAACTGTTACATAAACCAAAGACTGTGTCTCTGATTAGGGTGTTTTTTCATAGAACTGTTTAGTATCATAAGGTTGTCGTTCATAGAACTGTTTAGCAAAATAAGATTGTTTTTTCTTAAAACTGTTTAACAGAAAAAGACTGTTTACAGGCAACAATGATGGTTATACCCAAACTATATGGGAATTGGAGACTTTTGGGAATACTGGGGATTATTGCTTGTTTCTGACAATTGTGATTTTTGTGTGAACAGTATGGTGCGTTTCAGGACAATGCAAACTCCACTCAGCCACTCACCAGTATTAACCTTACTTTGATAGTGCTCCTTGCTCCTAAAAGACTTTTTGAACACATCTAAAAAAGTTAAATCTGGTCCTCTGGACATTCAAAAAAACAAAACAAAGCAAATCAACAAAAAATGTAGAAGCGTTTCGTCTCTCATCCGAGAGACTTCCTCAGTCTGGATGAGAGACGAAACGCTTCTACATTTTTTGTTGATATGCTTTGTTTTGTTTTTTTGAATGTCCAGAGGACCAGATTTAACTTTTTTAGATTTTTCTACCTGGATTATTGAGCATGCATCAGGATTTTTTGAACACACAATCTATCACATGGACTGAAGAGTACACCCAGGTGTGAGATGTGGACACATTTTAGCGCGCCGTAACATAAATTCAAAATTTAATGTGCATGCAAACAGTCCTACTTATATTGATGCGATTGGAGTCCCTAGGGGAGTTCCAGATGAATATAAGCTAACTGATTGGGTGGCTCCCGGATTTGAGAATTCATTACATTCATTATAATGTGTTGCGACTGATTAATTTGACTCGAACTGCTGTAGAAGGATTGGATGAACAACTAGCACCCACTTCCCTTATGATTACAAAAAGGGGCGTGTGTGCTAGGTTTGAGAAATAATGCTGTCCATTACTCAAGCAACAGAAGGCCTGAATGGTTAGTTTAAAACAATGCACGAACACCCAGGTGAAGACAACCCCTGGATGGTTGGCTGAATGAACTTCTTGGTAAGTGAGATGTGCAGTATTGTCTGTGTTCATATATGATGTTTTTGTTTGGGGAAATTGGGGGTATAGGGGGTTAAGACAGGATGATTTAACTTACATTTGAGTTAGTCTGTGAAGGATACTGAGTGGACCGGTAAGGTCACCGTCATGGGGTGTGAGGTGATGCTGTGCTTTCCTCTTAAATAATGATAAAACCGTTCACTCGAGGGGGTTTGCAACAGCATTCACACAGCATCCTAGGGTTTAAACCACAAATATTAATCTTTTATGATAGATGTGCCTTTTGAATCATAAGTATTACTCTTTTTAATAGATGTCGTATAAACCACAGGTATTAACCTTACTTTGATAGAAGTGATCTATAAACTGATGTTTAGCATTAGCTTCACTGTTACATATGATTGACACCTGAGGGTGACCATTAATCTTACTATGTTATGTGTGATTAATCTGAGTTTTAAATCTACACAATGTGAGGCATGTGATCTCCTTTTAGGAGATCTGGGGGGTGGGGGGGTGGGGATATTGTGAAGGTTTAAAACTATTAATTGATCATTAGGAGTTAGTTTAGTCAAGTTAATATGTTTTAGTGTATGTGAGAATAACTGACCGGCAGCTGTGAACCAGGTACCTCTGTTAATTACACCAGCAGGAAGGGAGGTTTAGCCTCATTTGAAGATAAACTTAGGAATGTTGTAGGGTCTCTGAGAAAACTCCACCATTTGGAGGCACCGAGAGATAAATTGAGTCTTAAAAGCGCCTCTGCCTGCCTGAGGAGGTGAATTGTGGTCTTCCTGTGCAGAAGGTCAAAATATCTCCCGGGGGGAGGCCCCCTGGTGTTATAAGGAGGCACTTTTCCTTTGTTTTTCAAAACCGGCTCCTGTCATACTGGGTCCGCTTCTCCAGATCTGCTTGTATTCTGTGCATACATCTGTATGTGAAAATAAATGTTGTTAAACCTGAAGGAAGCTTGGTCTTTCCCTCCGATCAAAACCAATCCGGGAAGAACGAACCGGCACTCGTTCTTAACAAAGGAAATAGCAAAGTCATAAAGAACTATAGGAAATTGACTATGACACGCTAAAGGCTGGAGAGGAAAGAGTAGGTGGGCTTAATACATGTTTTTATTTGAAATGAATACGAGTCGTGGACCACAAAAAAAAAACAACCCTAATTGACCGCTGCAATCAGGTAACGGAGGGCCCTCCACAACCACAGAGTTGTGTTGGTTCTCCCTCATAGTCACTCACTATCACACCATAAAGGTCACTGACATGACCAAAGAAAAGGAAGTCAGGCTCAAGTGGAATTATTCTTTGACTTATGTTACAAACACAAATTGTTCAGACTGTTTAATGTATTTTGTTTTTGAGAAGTCAAACGGGGTCACTTATCAGGTTTGATCTAGGTGTATGACCATCTTTAATTTATGACTTTGTCAGCACCAATAAAAAAATCACAACATATAATGTAAAATGAGTTCTTAACCCAATAAAATGGGCTAAAATACTAGGGAAAATGAAAAAAGAAAAGTCAGAAGTAGTATTTCTTCAGGAAACATCGCTCTGAGATAGAACATAGTAAATAAACTAAAAAGGCAGGGTTTTAGTCAGGTATTCAGTGCATCACAGGAATCAGGACGCAGAAGGGGGTGGCAACATTATCTAAAAAAAAGTGGCATTTGAGAAGATTTCTGAATACAAGGATAAAGAAGGGAGATACAATATGGTGACTGGCAAACTTGAGGGTCTAGAAACTACCTTTGTCAATGTGTATGCTCCCCCAGGCTCTCAATGGACTTTTTAAAAACATATTTTTGACTTGATAATAACTAAAGCACGAGGTACAGTAAGCTGGAGACTTAATTCAACCATACCCAGGGGAAAATTAAAGAGCTAAGACAAGAAATTCAATCATATATACACACACCGGATAATGATAAAGGTGAAGTCTCTCCAGCAATATTATGGGATGCCTGTAAAGCAGTCATCAGAGGCAAAATAATCCCATACATACATATACACACACACACACACACACGCACACGCACACCACACACACACACACACACACACACACACACACACACACGCACACACACACACACACACACACACACACACACACA